ATTTAAAAGTTTGAAAAGAAAAATGCAAAAAGCCGCATAGATGAGAAAACAGTGCTTAGTGTTTATTTCCCTTCGAGAAAGAAATAACGAATGTAGACTACCACGAATAAAGGGAGCGTGAAAAAATGTGACCATACTGATAAAAACAACTTAAGACGCAGTTGGCAGATGTGTCCAATAATTCAGGCTAGGATACGCAGCGTTCCATTTGGGTTTCATATTATATTAGACATCAGGCACGTAGCCAGGTAGCAAGGGGGGGGGGGGGGAGGGAGCCCATGGGGCCCGGGCCCTCCGCCCCCCCCCTCCTAAATCTTCCATTTTGCTGGGACCTCCTTTCCCCCCTCCCCCCTCACACAGCATTTTGTTATGGGCGCCCCCCCTGCCTCCGAAACAATATCCTGGCTACGTGCCTGTTAGCCATACTTTTATTTCAAAAATGTTATTACTGAAATTTATAATTAATTTAACTCTTCCACCAGGTCGCCTTGGAGCCATATCCACATAACATATATACCAAGACCTGACCTTCCTAAAATAATATAAAATTTTAACAAGGAACTTCAAAATATTCGAAACTGCTTCTTTTTTGGGAACATTTATATTCATAGTTTAGAGATATTTTGGTATTTTTTCCAGTTTCTTATGTACTGGATTGTCTTTTTGGATTGAGATCAAGGCGTTTTCATTACGTATTGTTCTGTTTTGTTTTATTAATTTTGAATACCTGGTTCGGATCCCTTCTGCAATAGCATAAGGTTGCTATTATTTGAAATAAATAAATAAATAACCTTATTGAAGGCCCATTGTAACACAAAAAGAGGAAAACGGGAAGGCCTAACTGGACGCCTATCTATTACTTAGGCTAGGAAAATTTTACCCTAGCTAACAAGAAAAGTGAAGCAACTGATGCACTCTAAATCATTTGTCTGATCACAGGTAGTAAGACATGACTGGTAATCAGCTAGCGCACTTGCGTTTGCATGACACAGTGAACAGAACAGCGCACAATAAGACAAAGACAGGAAAAGCGACATGCACGACACAGAAGCTTTGACTCGCAACTGAATTTATAGACAAAAGGATGAAGAGAATGTGCTGGAAGTCACCCGGTGCTAGAGCGTGTCGCACACGACGGAGCACCATCTGACTAAGATGTCTTCGCCCCATAGTTCGAGGTAGAAACAAGGTTTCTATTCGAAGCAGTGTCGCCGATGGATTGTTAATGCCGCGGTCCCCGAAGCTATTAATGCAACGCGCTTCCAAAATTTCGCAAGTCGTCTTATCTCGATAATGTCCAATCATTGTTGTGCATTTACATATTGGAAGGCACGACCAGGTATCGCATTCTGCGGGAAGATGACCGCCCACCGTAGATTTCATTGAATGTTAATACTCGAAAATGTGGTCATTTAGGCACCAGCCGGTTTGGCCCACATAGCTTCTACCACGCGTTAGTGAGATTGTAGTGGGAACACGACACATAAGTGTGGCTATGGCACATCTGGCACTTGGCTTGTTAAAGTTTTCCCGCTATCTAGCTAAACTTGGAACAGATTTGCGCCATTATTTTGGGAGCTGAAAACACCACAGGCGCATCGTGGCCATTGGCTGCTCTTTTTAAATTATTCAATGTTTGTGGATATATGCAACAACTATCATTCGTTTCTGGTGATATCTAGGTTTTTTTCGCTGAATCCCCTTGATCTTACGTTCCAAGGCCCCCACTGCCTCGTTTAAAATCCTTGACGGGAAGCCCGACCAAAGGAGTCTCTCAACTTAAGTATTAAAACTATTCCGGAGAGTGCGAAGGTATGTTTTCGTAAGCTCAGACTCAAGTATGAAAATCGAAATCCCCTTTTTATAAACTTTCGAATGTGCTGACCTATAATGAAGGAAGCCCTTTTTTGACCTAGGCGAGATACTCCAGCAGATATGGTTTGTGTGAAAACATAACGAAAGGTTTAGGAATTGTAACTTTCCGTCCAAAGATTTTTCAACTGTGAACTTAAGATCAAAACCATACCTTTAAAATAGGTTCATAACCTTATCAACCTTCTCACCTTAAGCAGGCTGGAATATAAAAGCAAAAGTACGTCAACATATCGAAACACCTTTGACACTTGCGATCTGCTAAGGTCACCCTCAATTGCTCTATCAACACTGGCCAAAAAAATATCAGTTTCCTCTCACTAAGCACGGGGGCCACAGAAATATATACACACACCTGACCGCTGTAAACATTTATGTTTCCACCCAACGATCATATAATGCAGATCGAATGACAGAAGTTACAGAAAGTATTCTAAAGACGCACAACTAGTGTTTCTGGAGGGGAGCTTTCCTTGTTCTTCAATACAAGACTTTACTGAGGCCAGAAATGCTTCGTGTGGAGAGGAATAAAAAAGGTATTGTACGTCAACGGTGAACACGGAGCGGTTGTTGAAGCTATCTTTCTTCAAAGCTTCACCCACTTCTTCAGAATTGCTGGCTAAAAGGGTCCTTAATTCGTAAACCGGATAAGTATTTTTAAAGAATGCTAGCCATCTGGCACTGCTACATGCCTCTTTCAGTTATTTTTTCACGGAATGGGCAGGCTTCTTTATGGGTTTATAATACCGAAGAACACCTGAAGGTGAAGACTTGCTTCTTTCTTGATGTTTCCAGCCAATTTTGTTAAGGAACAATGTTCACAGAGCTCTAATGCCTACATCTTAAACAGTTTTGAGGACAATTGCGCCTGCTTGAAGTGCTTACTCACGGCGGCGCACGCTTTTTCGTTATAGTGTTCTTCCGGCATGAATACAAAGGGCCTTTCCGTATCATCCTCCGGAACTCAAAGATTCTCACTAGACAAAACGAAAATCAGAGGGCGAGAATCAAATGTGTGTGTAGGTTGAGTATTGGCGCCACAAAGAGCGTCAGCACATTCATAAATACAGCTCGGTCGAACATTTTTATTTACCTTGCATAGTATTTTTCTAATTGGCGCCAGAAGCTCAAGAAGTCAAAAGTTCATTATATGTCAGCATATTCGAAAGTTCTTAAAAGGGGGATTGCGATTTCCATGCGCTTACGAAGTCCTGCTTTTACACTCTCTGTGACAGTTTTAATATTCAAGCTGAAAGACTCCATTCGTCGGGCTTTCCGTCACGCGTTTTAGACTAGGTGGTGGGGGCCTTGTTACTTAAGTTTAATGGGATTTGGCAAAGGAAACCAAGAGATCTCAGTTAAGTATATAGAAATCATGCTTATTTATTAGGGTGTTTTCTTGTGTTAGTACTATCCAGAGTTGCGTCGGCATTGTTTTTTTTTTTTTTAGCTTTCTTTGTGGGTGTCGGCGTTTTGGAGGGAGCGTTTGCGTGGGCAGAGCGGCCGAGATGCGAGAGCGGTTCCCCCGCCGGTCGTTAAGAAACGTCTCGGATTTCGGGAGTCTGCTCGGACAGATCCCTGGGACAGCCCGTTCTTGCAGCTGCTTGCGGCTTTTAGCCGAATGTGCCTGTATATGGAGGGTTTTGCCGTTTTGTATAAAATTGTCGCTTTTTGCCCGATTCAATAACTTAGCGGTTGGCGCCAGTCAGGCTGGGAAAATTGCAGAGAACAACTCTACAAGGAATTTAGGTTTGACGGTTGGGGTGCCAGGATGACAGCTCGCCGACCATCGGAGAACCGTATACCACGTGTGAGTGGCGGAATTTGAAAAAAATTGGTCGGTTCCTGAGGGGAAAAGAGGCCCCTACGGGCCTACAAAAAGAGCGCGGAGAGGATTTTGAGGGATTCGGACTTTGGATTTGATGGAGAGAAATTGGGGACGGGGGTCGAGACTTTAGACGTGGTGGGATGGTCTCCCAAGTTGGGACTTGTAACTAGAGTGTAAATAAATGCACATAGTTCTCTACAAGCAGTGGGTCGACCCGTCACTCAGCGACGTTCGTGCCACCACGCTCCAGGCCATCGGAGCGGAACCTGCCTCCCACACCACCGGGAGGAACATCAACAACAAACAACTTTAACTATCACCAAAAACGAATGGTAGTTCCATATATAGAAAAATATATTGCATAATTTAGAAAGAGCAGCCAAAAGGTACGAGGTCCCAGTGGTGTTTTCAGCTCCCAAACGAGTGGCGCAAATCTGTTCCTACGTTTTTTCGATAACGAAAAACCTTAGAAAGCCAAGTTCCAGAAACGCCCACAGCCACCCTCATGTGTCGTGTTTAATTCACGTCGTGTATAAAATCACACTAACGTATGGTAGAAACTATGTGGGCCAAACCGGCCGGTGTCTGAATGACCGCCTTTTAGAGCATGATCGTTCAATTAAATCTACGGTGGGCGATCATCTTCTTGTACATTGCAATACTTGCTCGTGTTTTCCGATCTTTAAAGGCAAAACAGTAATTTGACATTATCGAGACAAGGCGACTCGTGAAATTTTGGAAGCGCATTGCATCAATAGATTGGGAGACCGCTGCATGAACCATCCATGGGTGTCACTGCTTCAAACAGAAACCTTGTTTTTAGATCGGCCTATTGGGCAAATACATCTTAGATGGTGCTGTGTCGTTGGTGACACGCACTGGGACTGCGTGACTTTTAGTACGTTATTTTCTTCTTCCTTTTGTGTATAAATTCAGTTGCCAGACAGCGCTTTTGTGTCGTGCATGTTCCCTTTCACGGTCCTCTTTTTTTTTTTTTGTGCGCTCTTTTGCCAGCTTTGTCATCATACTAACTGGCCCATCTTACCATACTTTTGCAGTTTACACGACAGTTGCGCCGCCTCTCTCGAAGGCCTTCTCAACAGTGCTAGGCATATCTTTTTAAGACTATTGAGGTTTTACCATTAAGGTGCTAAATTACTTCGTCTTACGTCGCTTGCGAGTCCACGGCTTCAGATGCCCCTTTCTCAAAGGGCATTCGGTTAGCTCTTCCTGCAACTATTCAAAATTTAATTCATTTCTAGGTTATTCTCAGGGGTTTGGCCACTGAATTATTTGTTGTTTACCCTTTGAAGCACACGCAGACCAGAAGTGCTATCACAAACAGCTGGAAGTCCGCCGAGACATACCACAAATGGGCAGTGCTGGACGTCTGTAAAATGAATGAGTAACGCTTGATAAATAGAACTGTTCTCTGGACGCGTATACATGTGTTTCACATTGCTTATAAATGGTACAGTACTACAGAATTGATATATGCCTAACGTACACTTACACGTTACAGTTGTATTCGCAATTAAAGATGTGGCGCGATACTAGAGAAACTGCTCCAAATCAAGAAAATCATATTTTATGCCTTTCACAATTTCAAAACATATTATCATTTTCTTGAAACTTTCGACATTTGAACTTGAAAACAAGTACCATGTTCTGAGATATAGTACACAAGGTGATTTTTTCTTTTTTTTAGGCTTAACATATTTGTTTTAAAAATCCATGAAAGTTACACTTATACGGTTTCTGCAGGTGAGTTATTCGGCCAGGGGGACATAGCGCAGGGAGCTAATCGTAACGATTAGTCGGCTAATTAGCTGAAATTCGTTAATTAGCTTTTTGATTATTGAAAATAGACATATGGTTCCAATTAGAAACTTACTGAGCGTCCTCGAAAACCACAAAATCAAATCTTTTCAAAATGACTTGAAGCTCGTGAGAAACTCGGAGGTGCACCAAAGTTACCACTGGTGCAGCAGGTGCAAAGTTAGCAGTGGCGCAACGCGGATGATTAGATAATAATCGCGTTCCGGCGCTGCTAGCGTTGCGCCTGCTGCACGACTGGTAACTTTGATGGGCCCCCGAGTTCCCACGAGCTTCAAGTCGTTCTAAAGAGTTGATTTAGTGGTTTTCGATGGCGCTCAGTAAGTTTCTAATTGGAGCATACATCTATTTTCGCTAATTCGAAAGTCAATTAAATAATTGTAATAATTCGCCAACTTATCGTAAAAATTATCAACCCACATATTGTCCCCCGGGCCGTACAACTCACCTCCACAAGCCACATAAGTGCAAATTTCACGGCTTTTTTAAACAAGTCTGTAAAGCTTTAAAAAAAAACTGTATGATGATACCTCGGATCCTGCTAAGAAGTTTCTTTCTTGAAACAAATATTATTTTATGTCTAAAAATATACACAACCCCTTGGTAAAAAGTATTAGGTTTTCTAAAATAAAATAACCAAAAACGGTGCTTTTTAAACCTTATTTTGTGCAAAGCTTTTACAAACCAATATCAGTGGTTCTAACATAGAAGAATTTAAGTGTAAAATTGTTTTATACATTCCGATTGACGCTGCATGAGACGTTCTTACACATGGTGTGCAACCAAGAGACGATCAAGTGTGCTCGCGGCGTCTGTAGCGTTTTGATTACTTCGGGACTCCGTGATTAAAACTCACAACTAGTTACTTGCGCATAGGTGCCTCGTGCTTTGCTCCGTCGCCCTTGTTGCCTCAGGGGGACAGTATCGTTTGTTCTTTTCAAGTTAAGTGGAAACAAACGTTTGCATATGACACACTGGAGTAGTTACAAGCGCATGCATCTCGTCGTCTGAGCGGAGCATCCATCAGAGTGTACTAACTTCTCCGACCGCCGACCACCGTTCATGATTCCGATAATATCTCCCGATATTACAAATACACACATTCGCACATTGAATATTCGTGGGGCTCTTACGTTTTGCAGTTTTTTACCGAAGTTCCGCACTTGCAGAAGCAGTTCAAGCCAGTGGTTGTCCATCTCTTCATTCAACCTGTTCATCATTCCGACCACGCCCGGACCGGAAGCAACCACAGGAACCAAATACAAACAAGCAATAACGCCTACTATGGGTACAATGGTTCTGAAAAAAGAAGAAAGCAAGCAAAAAACGGAAAACTCGTTTTGACAAAAGTTCGATAACATTTCATTTCATTCCATTTCATTTATTGTTCCCTCAAAGCGCCCGGGGGCATTACATGAGGGGGGGGGGGGGGGGGGGGGAGAGACAAATGAAAAAGTTCGCTGCAAAAACAAGAAAACACTAACATTGAAAACAGCACGCGACAGATCGCGCACACATACACAGCATACTATATACACAACAGCTACACACCAGAGAGCGTATAAAATTAAACTGACTTAAATAATTCTTCACATACACTCCTAAACTGTGCACAGTCTGAGATATCAACCACACTTTCAGGGAGGTCATTCCATTCATGAATAGCCAAGATCAAGGGCGACTCCGAAAAATGCTTAGTGCGACATAAGGGTAGCCTAATTTTATGACGGTGATCATGCCGAGGAAAAATCATATGGGGCGGAAGTAAAAGTTGACTTTTAAGGTCAGCGTTGTAATAATACACGCGATGAAGAAAAGCCAGTCGTGATACTTTGCGTCTATTGCATAAAGGAACAAGGTCAGCAAGAATAAAACGTACGGCTCTGTTCTGAACAGACTCTATTTTTTTAATTAAATAATCTTGCCATGGGCTCCGAATAATGCTCGCATATTCTAGTTTTGAAAGAATAAAAGATGTGTAAGCTAACAATCGAACGCCACTTGGTGCTAAGAACAAGTTCCTCCTAAGATACCCTAGAGATCGATTCGCTTTGCTCACAATATGATCAATATGCACTTTCCAGTCGAGATTATCCGTTAGAAATACTCCGAGGTATTTGTAATGAGTTATATTTTCAAGAATTGCACCATTAACTTTATAATCAAAGGCAGACTTAGACTTAATTCTAGCAAAAGTAAGAAGCTTGGTCTTTGTAATATTGATATCCATTTGCCATTTAACGCACCATAACCATAGCGAATCAAGGTCACGCTGGAGTGCGAAGCTATCTTCGTTCGAGATAATGCGCCTATATATTACGCAGTCGTCAGCGTATAGACGAATTTTTGAACAAATTAAGTTAGGTAGATCATTAATGTAAATTAAAAAGAGAAGAGGACCGAGGACGGAGCCTTGCGGGACACCGGATTTTACTGAGATACTTCGAGATGAGTCGTTATGGATCGAGACTGATTGAATTCTTTCAGAAAGGAATTCTTTGATCCAGTCTACAAGAGACTGATGCATATTAAGTGACTTAAGTTAACTTATCAAACGCTGGTGCGGGACCCGATTAAACGCTTTCGAAAAATCGATAAAGATAGCGTCAGTTTGCGATTGTGAATGAATGTTGTCATGGATATCAGTGATAAATTCAAAAAACTGAGTTTCACACGACTTCTCTTTACAGAAGCCGTGTTGGTTAGAAAAAAAGAAATTAATTTCTGTAAGGTAATTCACAATATGGCAGTAGATCACATGTTCCAGAAGTTTACAGGGTATGCTAGTTAGGGAAATGGGACGGTAGTTATTGGCGGACGTAGCATCACCGGATTTAAAAATAGGGGCAACTTTTGCATGTTTCGAGTCCTTAGGTAAGTATCCTTGGTCCAGACGTTGTTGAAATAAAAGTTGCAGAAGAATACTCGAGACCGGCAGCGCGAGTTTGAGCAGTTTAGACGTAATTCCGTCACTACCCGGGCTAGTTGAATTGGAAAGGTTGAGGATAAGCTCCCTTATCCCATCAGAATCAACAATGATGCGATCAAGGAAAGAATTATTATAAATGTTATCACAGGCAGGTAAAGGAAATGACTCATCAGTGAAAACTCCACCAAAGAATTGATTAAAAGTAATCGCACTTTCTAAATCGGACAACGTATCCCCATGGATGTCAGAAAGACCGCTCGGGGCATTTTGACTTTTCGGAGGGCTAATGATTTTCAAAATTTTTTTAGGATTTGAACTTAGTAGTTGTTTAAGAGTGCCACCAAATAATCGTTGTTTGGCATCTTCAATTGCCTGCTTACAGAGTTTAGAATGGTTTAAATATTTGTCCCAAGAGGTCGTACTATTATGCTTTTTTGCACTTAAAAAAAGTCATTTTTTGGTGTTAAGGAGGCCTTTTAGATACCTAAAGAACCATGGCTTTTCTGTATTGGATGGTATTTTGATTTTAGGCACAAATAGGTGCATAAGGTCTAAAAGCCTGTCCTTGATTAGAGTCCAGTTATCTTCAACTGATCTGAGACTAAAAGAACCCTGAAATTCGATAAGGAATGACTCGAGTGCCGAAGTAATCTCCGATAGGTTTGCCCTGGCATAATCAAAAATGACTATGTTCGCAACCCTTTTTGTGAACAGCAATGTTAGCGTCGATTACCACCATTCGGTGATCACTGATAGCGTCAACAGCATTTACAGATAGAATTAACTCCGGAATAGACGTAAAAAATAAATCAAGAGTCGCATTGCTTCGCGTAGGCACCAACACAACCTGGTCAAGAGAACAAGATTTACAAATATCAATGAAGTCCCTACACTGCGAAGAACTTGTGCAACTGCTCTCAGGCACACAATCAATCCAGTCAATCCCGGGATAATTGCAATCCCCACCAAGAAATACAGGACACTGCGGGTAACGTAGTGTAACAAAATTCAAAAGTTTATACAATTCCTGGAGAAACACAGCTTGCGAGTCTGGAGACCTATAACAAACTCCAACTAAGATATGATAAATGCACACTTAACTTTGACAAAGCATACCTCAATATCGGCATCTAGCTCCACAACTACCGAGGAGAAACACTTTTGGATTGCAACAAGAACACCACCTCCCCTAGACAATGAACGATCTTTTCTACGGATGGTAAAATCACTGTGAATTAAAAGTTCTTCATTAGGTATACTACTAGAGAGCCATGTTTCGCTTCCCAAAATGACGTGGGGGCGGCATACTTCAATAGTGCTACTCAACTCATCTTGTTTTGACAACAAGCTTCTAAAATTAGCAACAAGGAAAGTTAACTGATTGACCTCACTTTCTGTGGTGGACCGTCATTCTCGTTCTTGAGAGATTGGAAGCTCAGGGTTGGAGGGAGCGTTATGCAATTCAACCACCTGGTTCAAAGTGGAGTCGTAAACAAACACTTTGTCGTCGATGAACAGTTTGTCGAAACCAAATCGAACTTTTTTCTGCGCATCACGATGCGGTTTTCCAAATTCTGAGTTTCCTACGAGCCTCCTGAATATGTGGCGAGAAATCTTCGTCAATCCATACTCTTAAGGATGGAACATTCCTTAAGGCCGGGGCCTTACTAAGCACTTCTTGTTTTTTCTTAAAACTTTGGAACTTAACAACAATCATACGGTGAAACCTCTCACGTTTCCTACATATACGATGTGCCCTTTCAATTTCACCCAGGTCAACGTTTAGGTAAGTTTTAACAAAGCCTATCACTATCTGTTCAGTACGATTCCAAGTCTCACCGTGTTCCTCCGGATTTCCTTTGAAGATAAGATTATTTCGTCGAGAGCGATTATCCAGAGCATCTACGTGCCGCGCTACCGCGTCAACATTATCACAGGTTAGAGATAATTTCCGTAAATTGCTTTCCAGTGAGCTTATATCCTGTTTCATTGAAATCACGTCCTCCTGGCAGCTCGATTGAGCGTCCGCTTTTTTTTTTTCAAGTTCCATCACCCTTCCTCTTAGGCTTGAAATGCCGGCCTGAATAGCATTTAATTTGTCCGTATTTTCTTTCTGATAGCTTTCGGTATTCTGCAGAAGCCTGTCTAGAGTGGTCTGGAGCCTTTCGAGCTGCGTGGGATCGGTTTTAGGTCCAGGATTAGTCTCGACATCACCCGCAAGAATCAGTAGAGCGCAAACGCACACTGAGACGAACACCAGGCGGAACTTTGGCAAAGACAAGTTCAGAGTAGGTAACAACCATCGATGACGTCCTTTAGTGGAACGAGATCGAAAAAAACGTCCAATGCGAGCACGATAGGCAGCAAGGCAGATGCCCATGCTCACAAACTAGACGTACACGATACACTCGCGCGACATGACTGAACATGACTTAGTATCGGTATACACAAGCTTTATTTTAGTTGTTCTGGTTACAAAACAACCGACCACGACACAAATTCTAGTTCGTTTTATGTACAGTTCCAAGCACACCTTTCTTTAACGCCGAAGCGCGTTTTTTTTTTTTTTTTTTTTTTTTTTTTTGCGGCGAGCGCTAGACTGGTGGCAATCGCGGCAACTATTCTGGTCACGTGGACAACATGAGACGGTCCGCTTGAGAGGAATCCTAACCTCTCCATCGTAAAGCGCTGGATGGATTTTATAAAATTTCAAAGTACCGCCAAACTGGGGCATGGTGGAACGCACTTGAGCCAAAATTACTGGAACGTCGACGCCACTCTAGTTGGTCGCAGCGGCGTGGGGCCGGCATCGACAGCACACCAATAGGGTCGTGCCCGCAAATGACGGCGCGTCACCGGTTGCAGCAGCAGACCAATAGGACCGTGCGCATCTGTATGTGGGATACGCCAGAGCCCTGTATAGAGAGAGTTTGGCCAATGGGAGGCGCGGGAAGAGACAAGGCGTGCACCGGACTCAGGAAGAGGGCTTGAAAGGATCTCTTGACAAACCAGAAGCCAAATCGAATCCTGTGGTAGCGAGAGACAGTTATAATCGTAGCTATATGGTTTTAATAAGTACGTAAGTGTTAAATGCAGGAACCCTTCATGGTTGAAAATAGGATCCACGTGATGTTTCGGTTATGATCATACAGAAAGATGTAAGAAACGAATGTGCCGCTCGAACTCTGTTTTGCTCGGACAGAGCGTGACTGCTCGGACGGCAAATTCCCGGCCTTCGGCGCCTGGTGTGCGGATTATGTCGATCGTTCCGCTAGACGCGCTCTTCCATCATGATCTTGGATGACCCTGATTGAAACACCACCTGCACCATATTTTCAGTCACCGAGAATTACTCCGACGAACATATTATTTTCGTTTCACGCGACCACCGCCAGGGTAATATTTCCGGTTCCTTCGAATTTGAAAAGACGCCCTGGAATGCGGCCAGCACGCTTTCGGCTATTGGCACCTCCTCATTTGTCTCCTATACTTCCCAATGAATGACCAAACTATCTCCATATACGGCTCTGGGATACGCCCTCAAGCAAAAATGGCGATACGTCGCCGGCATCCAATAGGAGTGCCTGCGGCAAGACCAAACGATGGTGGTACTTGGGTAAGTCAGGACATCCTGAGCTTTACTTCATCGGACGAACGCGGGAGGCTGCTTCCACCAACCAGGGGCTTAGAGCAATAAACCGGTATTTCGTTACCAGGCAAAGGTGACTACCCGGAGGCTGCCTCCATGTTGTACAATTCTGATCCTCACTCACGTGACCGTACCAAATCGTGAGGCTTTTACGCAAAACTGAGCCGAGATTTGTATTGCGATCGCTGTAAAAACATTATAAACTATTTTTCAATACTCTTAGGCCCAGACATAAGTGTCTAGATCCGATAAAAACCCAAAATACTGCACCGCGGCAAACGGCATCTAGCGGAGTCATTGCGAAGCTGCCCGAGTTTTTGTCGTAATTGCACATATCTTGTACTTAAAACAAACGAAACATAACTTATCTTGTGGGTACTGTTACTAAAGATCAATAAGAAATTATCTGAGCGCGGCACTTTGTTAAAATCTAGACGTAAAACTATAAGGTCACATGTCTAGTGGTCAAAAATCTGCAACATGGCGGCGGCCGAGTATGTCACGAAGAGCTGCCAGGTTATTGCTCTTTTGCCCCTCTATTTCGTTGGCTTGCAGCTTCGCGCCAGCTATGGTTCGCATATCGGCTGCGTTCTCGTACGCATACCAACAGCTCGTTTTTTCATGCATGTCTTGATAAGCTCATATGCCTTATTTTCGTTTTCTCCTGGTACGGCGGCGTTTGCGAAAAACACGGGAGCAGCCTTCCACACGTTCAACAGAAGCCCACGTCGAGTGGGCAGGAGACCCCTTGGGTGGACCATCCCACGTGCCTAGATTCGTTACCGCGAAAGCCACAGTCTAGCGCTCGCCTCAGAAAACCGCGCAGTCCCGCGTTATAGGCAAGTGGGATTGGCACGGTACTATGGCAAACGAATTAAAAGTCATAAAACAACTGGAGCGCACGCCTAATAATAACTGGATTCCTTGTGCCAGAATTTGATCGTGCCTATTTTGCAGCGTTTGCAGTGTGATACTGCGATTTTATAGTCCGCTCAATCATGATAAGCTAAAGAGCTGCGTGCGATGTAGGGTTGATACTAGAGTGTTAGTGAATATAATTACATTTCACCAAAGTAGAGCAATGATTTTCGTGTCAAGTCAACCCATGTCATTTATGAGCCGAGGTATGCTCGTGCAACGTAACACAATGACGGTGTGTCTGCCTTGATTCAGGACAGTGGCGGATTTATGGGACAGACTTGGCAAGGGAAGGGAGGGGCTGGGCATCTGTCTGGGAAGGGGGGCGGGCTCCGCGGACAGCATCAAAGTCACGGACGATACGTTATTCAGATCTCTTTTGTTAGCCTAATATTTGCCATTTCATTAAAAACTACGCATTTCTTTATCAAAAGAAAGCACGTGTGTGTTTTTCTTGATAAGAAAAGGATTCTTTTGGAGTCTTAGCCGAAAGGGCGGTATACTTCGAAACTCTTCAAAAACAAAATGGCCTGGAAGTGTACCGGTGCAGCGAATATTAACGTTTTTACAACTTTTTTTTTGTTTATTGTAAGTTGTTTTTGATTATTATATAATATCACCGCTTGTGCATGACTACCAACTCGTATGCTGTTCATGAGCTTAGAAAATAAGCTGATAAATAAATGAATTATAGAATGAATGAATGAATGTATGAATGAATGAATGAATGAATGAATGAATGAATGAATCCATAATCGCTGAATTTGTATATAACAAGATTTCAACTAAACCAATATGTAAATGTTAATAACATTTTTGCAGAGTTACCGACAGATATGAAAAATAGCTTTGGAAATATTTAAATCAATCACTAAGCTAATGCTCAATTTCAAGACAAAATAGCAACTAATGCCTAAAAAGTTTCGGTTAATAAACTCTGTGTGACAGTTGGAAACAACCGGCCGCTTGACATTATACATGGGAATACCTAATGTAGCGTCGCACGATGGCAATGATGGTAATAAAAAATCTGTTAGCCTTTTGCCGCTGGATGTTGTAGGCGAGAAGGAACCCGCTGAAAAGAAAATAAATAAGAAAACGTTAGCGCCATATGTTTGGGAAGGGGGGGGGGGGGGGAATATGAAGAGACGAAGGAATTCAGATATCCTGCTTCAGGCTATAGCAATCCAGCCCCAGTTTTATGCTACCTGGGAAAGGAGCGTGAAAACAAAACTCGCCATTTATATTTTAAATTAATAGTTATCGTAATATTAACTGAAATATGACCAAGCTAATATTTGTAAGACAGTACATTCATTTTCACAAAATTGTCCCTACGGCCATTACCTTAATATTTTATGGCGCTTATCTAATAGTGTTTCTACCCGTTATCTAATGTCTTTCTAATTCAAAGAAAGTGAAGATTGAAGAATATAATTTTGTTAATGTTTAAATTTTTTCATAAACGCGTAAGAGAAAATTATACCTTCATAATAACGTTCATAACGTCAGCGGCTGTGACAACCCACGAGTAAATTGACATTTGGCGCGTAAAATGACATTTGGTGAACGATTTTGGTATTTATGTTTAATATTAGGACTGGATTAAATTAAAATAAGATCAATTGGTCGATCTTTAGGCAATGCGTTATCATGGCCCTCGGGGAATGCGACACACATCCCGCTTTAGGAAACGCTAACGCTGACCTCTTCACTTTTCTGTTTTGTCTTTCTCTTTTGCTTCCTCTATTTTTTGCTGCCTCTTTTTGGAGTCGTTACGGGGTCAGTGTTAGCGTTCCCAAAAGCGGTCGTGTGTAGCGTTCCCCAAGGGCCATGCCAACGCATTCTCTAAGTATCCACCATGAACCTTGCTTTAAATACTTTCCCCGCGAACCGGGCTCGCCGAGCCCGCTTCGACCCTGTATCTGATGGACGCAGGCCCGCGTCGGCTTGCAGCTTCTTGCGTCGCATATCGACCAGCCGAGCTAGGTGCTGCCTCCGCTCCCTAGTCTCGTTCACCCGCCTTGCGCGCTCAGCAGCGGCATCCGCTGCCTGACGCTGCTTTCGCGGTTCACCGGTTTCCCGCGCGCTCATTGGCTTCCGCCCCTTGACGTCGCCTTCCTTTCCCCTTTGCCCTTCACTAATCTCCTCCTCTCTACATGGCGCGCTTCCCTTACCGCTGTGTTGTCCGCAGATGGACGGTGTCAGCTCTTCGCTGTAATGTAGGTACTAATGCTAACGTATCAATAAATTTTATTGCTGACTTTGAGGTGTTGTCTTTCACCTTCTTCTGTTATTTTTAGGGGGTCTGTTCACCCCTAGCCTAGGCATTTAACACCCTACTCAAATTTATGGGCACCCCTGTTAGGTTCCGCCTACCACAACGCCAGCACTACACCCAAGGGCGGTGGTAGGCTAGCAGCCAACCTGTCACTGGAGAATAACCGAGACGCAATATCCGTCCTACCTGAGTATTGTGCTTCCTCTGGAAATCGTAGACACGAAAGAGCACTCAGAGGGACGGACGAGGCAAGTGGAGGCCACGGGTTTTAATAAACTTTTTATGTGCTGATCTTTAATTAAAATACTTGCTGTTTCTCCATACAATACATATAGCAGTTGCTTGATTCCATGGAAATAAATCCCGCTTTTTTTCATAGTGGCAACTTTTAGTTGTAGCCGGCAAAATATGCCTTGACGAAGCCACACAAGTGAAACAAAAACCCAGCCTCTAAGCCACGTCGCTGTCCAGAGCGATAGCAGGTAGCGAGTTAGTTCGTGTAGAGGTACCATCTCTCTTGGTCACGAGCTCGCAGCAACAGCCCCGTCACGATGTGCAGCTTCTTTCGGGGCCGAACTTTTGGTGGATTTCTTTTATGCTGAATTTATGTAAAGCGGGTTTTTTATTCCTATCAAATAGTTTAACTGATTTAAAATGTATGATTGAATTGAGCTTACTCAGGCTAGTGTGTGAATGTCTCGGTTTGTTACATATAGTTTGGTAATTATCCAGTCATGCGTGTGTATTGACGTCTCCAAATGAGTCTAAAACATTATTGTGAAGGAATTTTATTTAACTTGTCTATCAGATAGGACACTCTGCGTGCATATATATTAGATGTCACAATAACTAAAAAAAACGAAGTTCAGCAGCGTTCGAATTTGATTGCCAAAATGTGTAAAAGATAACTTAGGTTTAAGAAGTTAAGCAAGGTTGTTGTTTTTTCAAACAGTTAGACGATGCGAAGCAATTAGTGGTACAGCGATGCTAGCATGCTGATACGAGCCCTATCTGCGTCAGAATAACAATTTAACGCACAAGACTACCCACCAGCTTATCCTCATGCCCGAAGAAACCACTGATATCGAATTTTAGGCTAGAAAAACAAAATACATCGCAATTATAAATGGATTATAATTACAAAGGAACGGGCTGTTTCCACCGTGCTTCGCTGCAGACTACGTCTAAATGCGACCGTATTTCGACGTTTTTTCTATGAGGGCCATATTCCGATTATTAATTTGAGACAGACCTCGTTCCATCACTCTGGCCTTGTTCGTTGCAGAACGAGCCCACCTTGCTTTTATGTCCCTAGCCAAACACTGTTCTCTCTTTTCCGACATCTGATGAGAAGGACGAACACGCTAAGCCTACGTGGGCCGCCGCTTCTCTTCGGCGATGTCTCCTTCAGTACACTATTTTTTCTTGCGAATCTTCCTGAAAACGACCACAAACATACAGCAAGCGTGTCTTCTATTATAGGACGGATGAATGAATGAATGATATTGGCCATATCCTTTGTATAGGCTGTAGCTTGCGCCACCTAGCCTAGAAAAATTGACACCCCTCTCTCTCTTCAATTTGGCCATAAATTCTGTCTCCCGTTAAGTTATCTACCCCAACCATTTTTGCTTATTACCACGCCACTCGAAGACCTTCCCCATCAATATTCTATCCTCTTTTTTGTAACAGTATTCATTTGCTCTCCTCTCCTATCCTCACCAATAATACCCAGCGCTCCCGCTAAATCCGTTACCTTTTAGAGTTTTGGAAATGCTGTCGTATATGTGAAGTGAGGTTTAACTCGTGCTGGAGAGAGAAGATATGTGGAGTGTACCGCTCCAGAAGTAGTGGAATATCCCTGAGACGATTCTGGAAATCTCGCAAACCGAAATACGCAGGCTGAAGGAATATGTTAAAGCCGGCGGTGATCCATGTGATGCCATGTGATGGAAAGCAGTCCAGGCGAAGCTAAGATTAAATGCAAATATTAAATTGTTGAGACGCAGTGTTTAAGAACGCACGCGTCCAAGTGGGCAGTTTTCAGTAGGATTGTGGTCGTATGTGTCACCACGCTGAAAGCAAACGTTTGCTTGATTCAGCGTACGATGTTGTGCGAACAATGCCTGAAGTAGAATGTATTGGCGTGTTTTTGATGTCTAGACCAAGGAAAGGTAGATTTCAAGATTTCGTTTTTATCTATCTAAAAATTGTTAATAAAAACATATATAAAAATGTAAAAAATATTCAAGCAAAAAGTAAATAAATAAGCTAGATTAGCTTGGGACGTTTTACTAGTAGTCATATGCAAGTATAAAGGAAAGAGTCAATACAGCTCCTCACCTCATAAAAAAGAAGGTATCAACGGCCAGAAATCCGGCTGTTATGATACACGAAGCAATTTCATCACCCATAACTAACATCTTCGTTGCTCGTGCTGGAAAAAAACAGAATTAAGAATAATGTTGACGACATTGTTTTGCGCAGAAAAACAAACCACCCTCGTATGAATGATCCATGATTAAAGGGGGAAAGTATTCCAAATTTATTTAAAAGAAGTTGTAACGACAGCATTGTTGTCATCAGAAAGTGGACGTATACAAATAGGAGCGTGAAGAATATAAAAGCGAAGATAACAACAACAAAAAAACTTGTTAACTCGTAGCAAAACATTTATCACTGCAACCTCATGCTTTGCAACGCGTTCGCATTGATAGGTGTGAGAAAAAAGAATTCGAAATCAATTACACAACGTGTGTCATATCGACAGATATTTATGTGGCCGTGTAATTACTGCGGAGAATATATGCGACGCCTAGCAGAATGTGGCGCGGCGGAAGCCCTTTGCGTACCTGGTACGCTTGTTTACCCGCCAAATGCGCCCACAGGCTTTTCTTTATCGCCTCAACCGCAACAGCGAGCGTCGCAGGAGCAGAAGAGTTCCCGGCCTCGGATGGTTGTCCGCGTGCGTCAGTACCCTCAACAGCGGCGGCGGTGACGGGTGCAGCAAAGAGTACCATGTGCGGCGGCTGGGAGCACCATATGATTGATACAGTAGCTACTCACGTCACGCAAATTATTCACGACGGACGAAGGTTCCCAGTGTATAGCCTCCGTCAAGAAAGAAAAGTAGGTGTGCAGAAATACCGAGGAATATCGAAGTGTTTGGGGCGACATACTAGGAACAAAGAAGGAGGTAGAAAGGCATGTATGGCCGTTCGTGGATATCTATTTCGTAGCAGAGCAACTGGTCATGTAGGCTTTTGGGGAGCCGTTTGTCGTCATGATAATCGGTGAAATATATGAAGAAGTTAGTAATATTCGTACGATTTCAGAGTTGCCCGTGAATTCCGTGCTCAAATTTGAAAAGAAAAGTTATTGCTCACTCTTAAATAAAAAAAACAATAAAGTTTTGATATAAAGATGACAGCGTCGCTCTAATGATCGCAACATTCACTGATGGCATTCGTGCTTTGGCAAAGGTTTGGATATCAGTGTCTTCAGTAACTAAAATGACCGCTACAGATATTGTGGTTGTCGACAAATAATTTATAAATTGTAGCGCCAAAATTTATATTTTCTTATTAAATAGCACTGTTTTTTTTTAATTTACAGTCATTTTTTAAGGGATGATCGGTATAAGGAGGCCAGCTTCCTTGCTTGTGTATCGGGCTTGGCGGACAGGCTAAACAATGCAGTCAGTAGACTTGGTAAAGAAAGCTTCTTCACTAACGTTTTCAACAGTTTTATGGGCAATGTTGCAGGGACATTATTCAAGGCAATTAAAATTAAAGACGATACAAGTTTAAAATATATTACAAAAAATAGAACGGACTTCCAGATATTCACCAGTCTTTTTCCTTTTTGTGGCCGAATTCCGAAACTCGACGCAAAAGAAGATCGTACTTTTCTTCATTTAATTTAGGGGTTAACCTTTTTCCCTAGAAGTTACAGTTTCAATAAAACTATCCATATGGGAACAAATATGGCTTTGGAGTTCTTGGAAAATATCCTAGCTCGCATAATGCGGCTTTCGGGTGTCTTTAGTTGTTACCCTTTGGCAGGTCTATCGCTCAGTGGTGCTATATTTTCACACATAAATGTACCGTACGCAAAAGGCACACCAGGGAATGGAATAGAACAATAAAGAAGTCATAAAAAGAATGGCGCTTTATTGCCTGTTTTCCCCCACTTACCCCCGCTGTTTCCATAAGGGACGATGCAGTGACCGAAGACAATCCAGAGGATACTGGCAACTCGCATTCCGTGAAGAAACCTGTATTTGTACGCTTCAGACTGTTTGTTGCTGCTCGTCGCAAGGAACGTTCGAGTGCTGTTGAGCAGCGAGAAAGCCATGCCAACTTTTATTATATCTGAAAAAAGAAAACACACAAAAACTACATGTTATACAGATTGGAAGTAGCACAGCCCTTAAAGTGGCTACAGTTTTTCCTCAAATTAAACCACACCATATAAAATTTACGCAAAATCGGCTGATTGAGTAAAGCAAGTTGTGCTTTTTATACACCGATTATCTGCCTAGATTAGATCCATTGTCACACAAACACTTATATATCTTCTTTATCTATGTGCTAAACTAAATCGGGAAAACATCTGTATTCGATTATCTAAGGGCACGGTTAGTGGGGACAGTGATAGTGTTGATTGATCACTACTGTTTACACTGCCGTTCAATGTGCAGACGTCTAAGAAAAGACGTCGCACTCATACATGTGAACGTCACCAACCGGGCGGCCCAAAAACAAGTTACGGACACACACAGAGCACACGCACATGCTTACAGAAACACATGCACACTTTTACTCAAAATCACACGCACATGCTGACAGTAATAGGAGATAGTTCTACAGGTCCCCTGGCTGTCGCTTCAGTAATTCGAACACCGGCCGTCCCTTCATATGCCCAAAACCTGGCAACTAATTAAGCAATATGTTCTAACAGACCTCGCAATTCCAAAATAAAGTGAAAATATTATAAACACACAATCCTAAAATACTTTTCATACAACTTTCTCTAGGCACAGAGAGTAAAAGGCCGACGTCAGTTGGAATTTTATAGCTAACGAAGAAATGAAGGTAAAGTAACCTAATTGAAAATCAATGCTTTCTATTAAGTAAGCAACTCAGCAAAAGATATTGCAATTATACTTGTCCACTTTCGCAATAAATAGGCTAATTAGTGTCTGAAGCAACGATGCCAAATTGAGAAGTGGTTGGGATACTACCATTCCCGTCCAAATCTAACAAGTTTTCAGCGCACAATAAAATTTCCATAAAAGGACGCCCAAAACAGATCAAATGTTCAATTCACAATCGGGAACTCAAAAAGAAAATAATAACTGTTGGGGTTACGGTTACGGTTGCCGTTATATTTATGAAATCGGTTTAGTTTCGGACCAAGAATTGTGTGACTTTTACTCTTCAGACCGCCTTTCTTCTCAAGGGTTGTTTCATTCAAACATAGATAAATAATTCCTACTGCTTGGTATCGATTAGCCGTGATATAACATAATGAGTCGGCGAAGCGAAATTAAGCGAGGCAACTAACAGTTGCAAGCACAAAAAAATGTGTTCGGCTTTTCAGGTTAAATATTTTAATCCTAAGGCTCTTGTATTTTATATTAAATTCTATGTTTTTTACGGAACGATTTGCACACAATATAACAATGTAAAAATGCCGACTTCCTCGAGAAAAACAAACACATCCCTCTTTAAGGCACTTAGTGATTTACCAAATTTCTTTTGCAATAGTGTAAATTCTACTTTACTCATTTTACTTTTGGTGCTGATACTCAGTTACTTACCGACTTTTTTTCGGTAACTTGTACATTTCTGAATATATCCCGTTCAAAGAAATTAAATATAAAAGAGTCACGATACCTTTACTCGACTGCTTGGCGGCACCAGAGAAATAGAAATAAAGGTCCAAGGCAGTGCTGCTAACAATCAAGATGCCTATGATTCCAAAGGCTATCCTGAAAGAGAAAACTAGAAACAATCAATTACATATTTGTGAGATTACGAGACGTTGATCTGATGAGCATTTATGGAATAACGCTACGCTTCCTGGAGTGCATTATACATACATATATTGTGATAGTGGAAAGTTGAGAAATATTGGCCAACACTTTGTATTATTTTATAAAATGTTTACAATAAATTGTGTTTCAGCATAGATTAAAGCATGACATTTTTTATGCTGATGGCGTGATGTTTTATTTAACTCTCAATATAATTGTTAAAAAAACTCGTTTAAAATACATTTAAAAAGTATTCATCGAGAGCTAGGAAATTTCGCGTCGCTATATTAGACGCACCTTTCGTATTGACGGACTACTCTAGAAAAGAAACTTTTTCCTGACAAAAATTATCAGAATTACGGATTCTACGCGGTAAAGCTATGGTGCTAGCCATATCCAATTACGTGAGCATTTTACTAGGGATGTTTTTGTAGGGGCAGTGGATTCTTTCTAACGTATCGGACCAAGACGTACGAAACAAGATTGCACGAGACTGCAAGTGTCCTTTCCGTGCTGAGAGCTTTGACCTGTTAAACAATCTTGGGAGGTAGGATTTCGATTTCTTCCTTGCATTAGGCCGCTACACTGACACACGGAGTGCGAGACCTGCACATTGCGTCATGATTATTGAATTCCCGACCTGATCCAAGTAGCAAACACAATGAAGCTCGACGAGAGTAGGCAGCAAAGTGGCATGTGCGTGCGGCTTGACGTCGCCGTTTTCCAGCATGCTGCTGTCTACGAGCACCTCAAAGACGCGTGTCTGGCGGCATGCACGACGCAGCTTCGATTCTCTAGTGATTACGTTGGTGGAAGAAAGGCGCGAGAGTTGATTTCTACAGTCGCCGACGGGCGTGAGGATGGCAGCATGTCTCCTTTGTACGACAGACCTTCATCGAGCGCTCATTGCCTTCCACCGTGATTTGGCAGCGCGTACACGCTCGAGGTTCACGACACGCCGAAGCTTCGTCGAAGGTAGAAAACTCGTGGCGTAGGCGAGGCAAAGTAACGTCCTCTCTGCCTGTCTCATTTTGTAAGTAAGTACAGGGGGTATACATCGATCCAATGTTTCCAAAATTACAGAAAAGCGTGTGATTTTCGCGGCGCAGCACGCGTGGGTGTGCAGCTTCAAATTAAAAAAAACACGTACAACAACAAAACAAAACAAAGAACAAAGACAAAACTTCCAAATATGAAAAGAGACTCATTGTTGCAATCCAAACAAGCCTTGTAACAATCAATGCTCGTCTTAAACATAAGTTACGTAAACATTAAAAAAAAAAAAAAAACATAACTTCACAAGTGTGTTTCGTCTCTTTATCGAGTCAGGCACTATTTTCTGTTCGAAGAAGCGGTTCAGCCTTACTCTTTAACTTGCATTATCGGCCCACATTTCGCTGCTTCAAGCATAATATTTTTCGGCTTTGCCGCTGCATCTTCAACCTTCTAAAGTGGCTCGAATGCACTCGATCCCTAATTTGTAACCCGCATTACCGCATCAGAGCGCTTACGACGCGTAAAATTGTGACACTAAACGGGTGTCCGGCTTAAGGACAGTCAGGTCCTCAAATCCTCAAAGGTCTCAAAGAATACAGTGGCGCTTTTAAGGCGGCCCATCCACCGAGCACTTGTGCTGCCTCAGCCATACCACTGACTGTTTAAGAAACGATGGGCCTGGCGAGTCACGCGCATCTCATTATCGACCCTCAGCCAATGAGATGGCCATATTCCCCGATAAGATCGCTGGAAAACGAATCACGAAGCAGGGAGCGGGAAGTAGATAAGACACGATCTGCGATGCTTAAGCTCTCAGTGACTCACTGTATAAGGAGAGCAAATTGTCTGCTTTTTGCAAAGGGGTTGCGGTGACGTCAGAACAACGCCGAACTCTTCTCGGCTTTGATTGGAAGGATAATGGCAGACCTCACGGGTATATGCCTTGAGGTGTACCCAATATTTTTTTTTCAATCAACCAATAAGTGCTTGGCGTTCTGACATCATAGCAACCCCTGAGCAAGAAGCGGACGAGCTTGCGCTCCACATCTTCAAAATGTAAATAATTCCCCCTATATACACCTACGGTTGGCGGACCTTAATTAAGGTGCCTGAGAGTCAAATTCACAATCTCACTTCTAAAGTGGCAACTAATAGAAACAAGTCAGAATCACTAAGTTTAGCCCATACACGGTGTGCGCAGGTAAACAGAAACAAATACTGGCCGAACTTCCGTGGAAAAGTAGGCTACCTCCGGCTGGCTTTTTTTTTTTTTTTTTTTTTTGCTTGTTTTTGGCGTACCCTCAGTGAGTATCGCGTAGTTTAGAAATCTCACCGCCGAGGAATAACTACGGTGCCTCCTGAAATCTACTTATACAGGATCGACATGCCTTTCTGATCCCTTGGAATAAAAGAAAGAGCACAATTGCTGCTCAAAGAAATGGCAAGTCTGCCGAAGGTATCGTGGGCGCATCTTCAGGAAAACTTATTCGACTAGCTGAGTCCATTTACCTGAGTACGATTTCAAACCTACAAATCCCTCAACGTGTTCAACTACTTCTAAACGGCAAGGCCTCGGCGATGAGCAAATACCTGCCTCAGACGCTGAAGATACGCGCCGAGCTTCCCCGTAAGGGTCGCCGAGCCGGGTCTTGGTTTTAGCTGAGAACCTTTTGACTTACTTGCCTTGGTATTCAAAGTGTCTTTCCGAAAGCAACTGGAGAATTTCCAGAGTGTAACTCTCACGGAATTGCTCTATAGTAAAACAAGAGTCGTCTCGCTTCCACTCAAACAAACGGTAAACAAAGGAGAACCGGAACTATTTCTCTCCCCCTCTCAAGCCGCATGAAGTGGCGCGCACGCCCTGTACACTCTAAAAAAGTCTGTAAGTCTACTTTCACGCACAACACTCGGAGAGCCAATCACCGCAACTTACGAAGGCAGCTCAGCGAATGCCGATGCCGAAGCATCTGTTTAGACCAAAAAACGCAGTCTGAGTTGTGACATTAAGCAATAGAAAACGTCACGCTTGCATTGCTTAATGTCACAACTCAGACTGCGCTTTTTGGTCTAAACATATGTTTCGGCATCGTCATTGGCTGAGCAACCTCCGTAAGTTGCAGTGATTGGCTCTCCGATTGTGTGCGTGAAAGTAGACGCACGGACTTTTTTTAGAGTGTATAGTACTCCTATCAGTTTGCTTGCACGCTTCACCCGCAAAACTAAAATA